AGAATGATTTGCAGGATAAAAGGAGAACTATACTGGCTCCTGTGGATCAGCCCTGACTGCTGCTATCTGAAAGGAGAACAAAATTCCACCCAACCTATTTTTGCTGACACTTTTTTGGGGGTGAGCAGGGCTATCCTACATCCACAATATACACTGGCTTCCATGGATACCTTCCCCAGTTTAAGATGGAAGACTGCATAGGACAGCTGCAACTGAGGGGGTGGCCACAGTATGCAGGGTGAATTAACCTCTCTCTCCCTAGCTACATCCCCAGCCTGCAAAAATTACCTCTTTTCAAGTCTAATCGCTTCAAGTGAGGTGAGATGCAGAGGGAAGAGCATGCAGACTGTTTGCAAGGAGGCTGTGGGCTTCATCTGACACATGAGCTGGTGGTTTCCAATCCTGGACTAGATGTTCTTATGTACAGCTGACCTCTGCTATGCAGACTGAAGGAGCTCAGAAACACAAGAGCTGAGATGGATGATGCATTGAAGGCTACAAAATGCAAAAGGACAAGCATCTTCCTTCTGCCAGACTGCACTTCTTTAACTCTGCTAAGTAAAACTGCACAGGTATTAATGTTTAGAAACATATAATTAGCCACCCAAGGTTGCACTGGCCTCAGTTTAAACATAATTAAGCACCTTTAAGCCTGATTGTTTTAGCAAGACATGTTTATGTTCTGGTGGCTCATACCCACTATCTTTTTCAATCGTCTTGTCATCAGTTATAGGATAAACCTAAAGATCTGACTAGGGCAGTGCATATTTCCATGTGAGAAGGGTGGCCACCAACCAACCAGAGAGGACTACTTGGCTGAGAAATCAGTTTTCGTTAATCTTTTCAAATTCATCTTCTTCTTTGAAGGCAATGAAGTACTTCTTTGTTTACTGAAAAAACACCCATTATACAATACTGTACATCCAAACTTGTCTTGCAGTTCATGGCATTTATGTCTGTGAAGAATGATCTGTAATTAAGTTCTCTTAAACCAAGATTTCTCCAGATAGATATAACGTGGAAAATTCCAGGTTGTTTCCTAAGAGCCATAATCTATCCTACAGGCAACACTGATTGGTTAAATGATAGTTTTCACATACAAAACACCTATGAGAACAAATGTTTCCACTAAAATTAAAGCAAAGTATGCAATGATTTTATCTTGATCCAAAAAGCTCACACTACAGCTACTAACAAAGAGACTAAGATCATTTTGGGCCAGGGATCAGTGTGGCTAGTTTTGCTTTTTTAAGGACTGCTTTGAACTTCTGCTTCTCAAATAGTAATCCTCCTCGCCATATGGTGTGCATTGGTTTTGTTATAAACAGAGGAAAAAATTGGAAGTAGTTTGGCCACAAGCTCTCAACAACACAGCCACTCTTACTAATAAGCAGTGGACACCCAATCTGCCCAGATACTGCTGACCAAACCCTTGCAACTCACTCTTCCTTGCAAATTGAATTCAAGGCACACAAAAAGCAGGATTATGCACTGACATAATTCCAATACCACTTTCCACTCTGGGTGAACAAGTATCACCCCCGACACTTGTGACTCTCTAAACATTCACATTAGCAAATCTACTAATCAGAGAGTAAAGTTGGAGCATGCAGAATGTAAGAGAACCCAGGTGGCAACACCCTCTCTCAATTACTCTGGCAACAACTCCTAATGAGCACCTAGTCCCTACCCATTATTTAAAGTTATTTATACCCCACCTTTAAAAGAAACTTTCTCAGGGTAGTATTAAAATAGCAAAATAATAAGTGCACAATAAAATCAAGAGCAATTAAATCATTTTAAATTATTGTATGCACTCTGCAGAAGTAAGATTCAGTCTCCTTCCTAGCATCCACTGAAAGATAGGTTACATGACAGACACCACCATCTCATCATGCCCTGAAGACTGCTAGAACTGACAAATGGAAATAACTGGGCCATCTTCAATAAGGAAGTCCTCCCAGCAAATCTAGGTGAGGCAGTAATTGAATTATTATGAAGAGTTAAAAGAATATCATACTTCAGCTGGAGCACTTTCCCTCCATCCAGGACAGTCTCCACTGCAGTAGTGATATGGCCAATAAAATGGCAGCTGCTTTAGAGATGTTAGTATTTCTAGTTGGGCATGAACCACATACATGTAACTCTCCCCATGTGAACAGTGTGTCACATAAATGCCTGCAAGCAATACAGAAAAAGTATGTGCTACAGTGTAGCCCACATGACAGCTAATAGACTGGGAAGGCATTGTTGTGTTTCCAACCATTCACTGAATTGTTTCCAGTCAATCTAGTCATTATAAGGACTTTGAGACCTTAACAACTGGTGCCTGTTTGCTTGTTTTCACCTTTCCATCCAGTCCCATTTTCTTTCTGATGATCCATCCTTTAGTTTATAAACCAAAAGACACGTTGCCTTGCTTGTTACTGAATTTATACTGATATTTTTTTCAGATTAACAGCAGGTTTATAAAATGTTTTAAATAAAATAAATAAACTGCATGAAGTCTAAATGCAATACAGTGCAAACTGTCAGACTAATTTTAAAAAACCACAAAAATATCCTTTTAGCTATTACCTGAATGATAATTAATCCAACAACCTGACATACAGATACATGTGTGTATGTATAATTACATTAAAATTGGCATTGTGACAGACACAGTGTATAATTAGTACCACATAGTGTATTTATGCAAAATACTGTCATAATTTACCTGCACACAGCATTCTTTCTTCCCCCTGAATTCTGTTCAAACTCTAAATAAAATGCATCTACCTTTCATGGAAATAGGAAATGAAACATTAGTTTGAGTAGTGAAAACCCTGTAACCACCCATTCTAAAATGTCTTATAAAGGAGGAGTGCCTCCATTCCAACATTTTTTTTAAAGTAAATTTCTAACCCTGCTGGTTGGTGAAAGGTTAGATTATGTGATGTCAAATGTTCCCTAAGCAGTTTCTTACTGGTGAACAAAATTATCATGCCTCTGCCCTGTGATATTTCAGTGTATTTTCATTCCTTCACGATGGAGTGTATAATGACGATCTCAACCAAAACACTCAAATATGTCTAGAAGTTGTTCTTAATTTTAAAAAGAGTACATCCTATATTTACAACAGGGGTTATTATGAATTTTACCCACTATAACTGAAGGGCACAATGGTTCTGGAAGTGGAACAGCACAAGAAAATGCAAGCTAACCATCCCAAAAAGTTTAAAAAAGCAGAGACAACAGTTCCTAAAAAAGTCAATTATGGTAATTAGCTGATAAATCATTATATATGCGTAAATACAATATGCAAGAGCAATTGTGCAATTCAGAGTCATTCTCGTTCCAGTATAAATGAAAGGAAGGATCCTGTCTTTCTTCATGCTATTACAGAGGTAGTTGTGTTGATCCATTGAGGAAAGGACAAACTATGACCAAATAAACAATTCTGTAACTTTAAAAGATTAGGGTCTTTGCCTATCAGTATAAAGCTACCTAGAATGTGGTTTCTTTCTCTGAAAGCAAGGAAGAAGATAACTTTTTTTAGATAGCTACTGCCTCAATCTTAACGAGCAGGCCAGACATCAACTATAAGGTAAAACAGTTCAGTTCATACATTATTTTATACCTAATCAGTTATTGTACTGATAGTATGCCATCCAAGGAAATGAAAGCCAAGTTTCAATCAAAGGCAAAGTTCATTTATTCACAAATATTACAAGACTACCTGGAGTTGGCATTAGGGAAAAAGTAATTTTTTTGCCCCTTCACTTGTCAGCTCAAGCATTAGGCAGGGAGAAGACAGCAACATAAAGCAAAAGGATGAGAAGAAGGGAGAAACCAAGAGAAATCCAAGAACCACCAATGCAAAATAGGAACTAATTCTTGAGAGCAGTCACTGATAGGACTGCCTGACTCCATGGGTCTGTTTAACTGCTTGGCAGGAGCACTGCCTTCAACTTCATCCTTTTGGTCATCCTTCCTACTTACTTGCTGGGGGACAACCAGTTCTGCTTGAGATAGAAGGAAGGAAAAATGGGTCAAGGGACTATCTGAGCAGAAGGTGCTGTGATTGCACACTCTCTTTTTAAGCATCCAGAGGCTTTGAGACAGACAGTCTCCTAGTTAATACCTGGGAACTCTTAAGTATCTGTGAATGTGCTCTATAATTAACCAGAGTGAATCTTGGATCAAGGAGCCAAATGCACACCATGCACATTCCAAAACTCAATAGATTAGATGCCTCTCTTTTGCAACATCAGCAAAATGGTGCCAGAAATCAATATGGGTCACTGTAATAAACTCAGGCCAATTGCTATGCCAATTAAATAGATGCTCCCAATGGTTACAAAAGTAATGCATACTCCACCAAAATACACTCTGTGCAGAACAATCCTAAGCTGGTACACTCAGAAGTAAATATCTTCATGTTCAGGGGAATTTACTCTCTAGTAAGCGGCATATATGGATCGCCTGAAAGCTATTTCTAATTATTCTCATATGCACAAAGAGGAATCTTATTTTCAGTCATGACCCATAGAAGCCACTGCAGGATAGGTCCATAGATAAAAGTCATGCAGTTTCCCAACCTTTGGGTTAGTGGGCATAGTTGTAATTTTGAGTGTTGTGGGCACTGATAAAATGGATGCCATGGAGTGGGGCTTGTGAATTCATAAAATGGATGCTACTAAGGGCATGACCAGTCACAAACCCCTCATTTCCAAAAATGCAAAGTCGTGAGACTAAAAGAAAATAACTTGCCCAAGAACTGAAGTGGGGGCTGATTGCTGAAGTCCTCTTTTAAATTAAAATAAAGATGGACTGGAGCAGCACTTCATTTTGCAGCATAACAGCCTCCTAGCTGCTTTAAAGAAAATCCAGCAACTCAATACAATAAATATCAGGAAGGGCAGGGAACCTAGCAGGTGCCAAGGAAGGAGTCCATGTGCATATTTAGCAGTTTTCTGTACTGGCATGACTGAGGTGACAAAACTAGATAAAGCAATTACCTTCTAACATTTCTCCAGCACCTTTGGGGTAGGTAAACAGAGCTTTTCGTGGTGTGGCAAGATCTGAGACACTGAACCCAGATCCAGTTACAGAACTTCCACTAACTCCACCAGCTGAAGATGAAGATGAGGCAGCCATTTTGTTCAGTCTGGACCTAATGTAGGAGAAACACAAAATCCAGTTAAGAAATTCAGGTGTACTGTTATGTGTGCTATGCAGAGATTTGGGTTCAACATGTAATCCCAACAGATTTTTTTTTTTAAAAACAACTTACTGCAGTCTCAGAAGGGCTAGCCAGTCACAAAGCAATTCATCTGAAACACACACTTATTTTGTGCTTGTAACTGTATCATTTATTGCTTCATCCTTGTGCTGTTATTCAAATTGCACTGTGTGGGCCAATCAGTGGGGGGGAATTTAGGTGCACACTGCTGAGTAATTGAAAAAGATGGAATTTTGTTCAGACAGTGGTTACTGAAGAATAGCAGTAGCCAGTTTATTAGAATACATTATCTTGTGTGTAGCTTGAGGCCAAACAGTTTTCTTTCAGCAGGGGAGGAGATAATTGAGCTTCTGAAATGACCAGTCTTTAAATGATTAGCACTGGCTTGCCTGTGGCTTCTAGACTAGAGGAAAAAATAATCTGATATATTACAAGCCCACCTTTGCCCATATCTCAAATTACAAATCTGCTTCTAAGGAAACTTCTAGAACCTGGATGCTTGCAGTTATGAGGATGGGAATGGAAGAACACTGAAGGTGGGTTTCATGGACTTGCATGACCCCAATTGCAAATACATCTCCATCAATGGAACCTGCTTCTGAAGAATACAGACCACATAATTACAATGTAACTTCGTGCCAGAACAGGCAACTTTTTGCCCCCCCCTCCCCAAATATACCAACCTTTTTCAACCAAGTGCCCTCCAAGTATCAACTCTCATCGTCCCATCAGCATGGATGATGGGTGTTGCACCCAGCAAATTTGGAGGGCACCTGATGAAGGAAAGCTGAAGACAAATATGTGAAAACCAAATCAGCCTCTGTGAGACAAAGAAGCTGAACAAGATTTAGTTCTTTGGAATGCGCAGCAATATATAGTGGGTCTCAAGCAGTCAGTGTACTATTTTCAACTTTCATTTCCTGATCATCTTCGCTCTGTACAGTTGAACCTCAACTTTCACAGGTTTAATTATTTGCGAGTTTGCCATCAATAATTATTTTTTTTAAAGCATTGCAGCATACTATGGAAAATCATCATCACCAGAGAAAGGACATGAAAGGGCAGAAAGGGAAGGCCTCTAAAGCCATGCCCATCCAGGGAGGGAAATTTCTCTGGTGTTACTTGGTGCAAAGAGGAGGCACTGGTGAGTGAAAGGGAGGGGGGAGAACAGGAACATAAGAGTGTAATAAATGAAGAAAGGGAGCTTGCTGGATTAGATCATTGTCTGAGGATGAAGGAGAAGCAATCCAGTTCACGTATGGTCAACAATATTAAGCGTTATGGTTTGGTTTAGAGATATTCATAGTTTTTCCACTTTCATGCACCCTCTAACCCCTACAAATGTGAAGGGCCAACTGAATTTCAGACAGTGCCAACACTGGTATACTGCTCCACGGGCTTGCAAGAAGCTTGTTTCCATAAACAGAATGCAGTACAAAATGTCACCACATTGTGGCACCAAAAGCTAAACCTTGAATATCGTGGAGGGATGTGTGACTCTCCACTCTTATCACCTGGATGCAGATCAGAAACATTTTGCATTTGGAAGCCCATACATTTCACTGGACACATTTCCAGAGAAAAATATGTCCAACAAAATGTGCCATTCAAAAAATGTTGGAGAAAAATGTGTAACTTCAAAAATGCGTACAAACCTGCATCAGTCAACAGATGGGTGGATGCATATAATTCAAAAATGAGTTTTGTTTTTTAAGGCATCAAAACCCAGTGAGGTTTCTTCTCATGAAAAGAATAATCTGTGTGGAGCTGGAACAGAGCTGGAAATGGAAGAAGCCTATGGAAAAGGACCTGCTAGAGCCAATCATTCCTCACCTTCTGCCGTCTCATAGGCCAAGGCTAACTTCACAAATTTCCATTTTATTATTTAACTTTCATCAAGCTGTAACATATATTCCATCTTGCATGTGACAGTGAGTCCATCATAGGCTGTTTTCTTCCTGTTCTTCCATAAGCATTCATTAAAGACTGTTATGCATGTTCCTTTTTAGTATTCTGTATTTATAACTTTATTTCAAATTAAAATTTCCTCAGCAGTCTCCCATTGTGCATTAATTGGCTCCACACCCACTTAGTTCCATAGTTACAGTACAGTCAGGTGCTACCAGATCAGGATCCTATTTTATGACCAAGAATTGATTAGCAATATTTCAAAATGTGCCTCTTTTATAAAGATAAGAATCTTTAAGCAGTAAAATGCACCTGAGTTATTCTAGTTGCTGTTTGGTGTGCTTTGTAGCAAAATCCGTGCTTTAAACAGGTAGGAACTATTTTTAAAAGATGCTATGCACATTTCTTTTGCACTGAAGGAACTGACTTTCAAGGGAAATTCTATCTCTTTTTGCTACTGCAGACTCATTAACTGGCTTTTCTGAACAGGCTGCTAAACACCTTGTGAAACCAGGTCTTGGAAAGAGGGAATGGATACAACAAATTATATGCAATGCTGTAGCCTAATATAGTCACTTCTTTCCTTTTATGTCATCCAACCAGCCAGGCACACAAATAAGAACATTTCAAAAGATCTGCTTAGTTATTAATATTATAATGCATTAAAGGAAACAGAGGAGTGTCATTTTTTAACTAATGGAAATTTCTCATCCACACAGCATTTTCACTCCACTTACAGATACAGAAAATGTAAAACCCAGTTTAACCATAGCTTATGGAAGCGGGTAGCAGGACTCCCTTTCCCTTAACAAAAGTGCTTCTAGATCTACAAGAAGGCAGTCTGCCACCTCATCACATTCCCTGTGTTAAAACTGTTGGGGGGGGGGGTCCTCAAAATGATGCATCTTCCTAATACAATTACTAAGATACATGTGCTGGACCTTCACATTTGATGCCAAACCTTTCTTTTTAGAAAAAACTCTTAAGTCTGTTTAACAGAACTTGTTATCTTATTGTATTAACTACTCCCACAGCCTAAAGAAACTGCATTTTAAGATACTGATGTAGAACATCATCCTCCCACACGCTATCCTATCACTGCTAGTCCTTGAATACCTACCGTTTCCATTATCTATTCCAGATTCACCACAATTATTTGGAATCTCTTCTTTCATCATTATAAGCCATGCTGCCCATTTTACAGGCATACTCTGATGACTATCCGATCAATGGCTCAGCATGGAATCCAAGCATTTGCTGTAGGAAATGCATCTTTGAAGAACTTGCCACAGCAGGAACAGTAAATTAATCCAATCAAGAAGCCCCCACCACCCACACCTTCTGGCCTTGTATTTTCATGTACTGTCCTATATCATATGCTAACAAAGCTATCAACATCCAAGCACACAAGAACCACCGGATGGATTATAAACCAGAGACAGATCCTGCAGCTTTCTTTTACACGTGCTTCAAAATGTCTACATTGTAACAGGATAAACACCATGAATAAGACATGTTCTCTGATTTTAAAAAACACAATGAAGGATACAAATCTAGACTCTCTCCATGGAGAGAGCGGACTGTAGCAGCTGTCTATGTGAATTTTAGTTTGCACTCGCACTCACTCAAGGCTAGGCTGATTGGTTTAAGTATCTATTCTGCTGTACACATCAGTATACCCACGACCTCTTTATGCCCAGCTTGGTCAAAGACACATCCTGAAATCTGAATGTGCTTGCATCATTAAAGTCTCAATCAGAATCACAAGGTTTTTATAGCAGCAAGTTACAGAAGGGTAGCTATGCAGTATTAGTCTATTCTAGCAAAAAAATCAAGGACTTTTAGGGCACCTTACAGAAGAACAAATTTACTGCAGCATAAGCCAATATGAGCATTAGGAAGCAATGCACACTTACAGTGAAGTAATCTCCACTGAACATAGTAGGCCTTGCTTCTAACATACACCTACCTGGTTGCATAGTTAATATTGTTTCCACTTCCAGACAGAGGAAATATAAAACCCAGGTTAAGCAGCACTTCCAGAAATGGGTTCTTTAAGACACAAGAGATACAGTATATCACAGAAGTGAGTACACCCCTCACATTTTGTAAATATTTTACTGTAACTTTTCATGTGAGGACCCTGAAGAAAAGTCACTTTGCTACAATGTAAAGTAGCGAGTATACAGCTTGTATAACAGTGTAAATTTGCTGTCCCCTCAAAATAACTCAACACACAGCCATTAATGTCTAAACCGCTGGCAACAAAAGTGAATACACCCCTAAGTGAAACTCTCCAAATTGGGCCCAAAGTGTCAATATTTTGTGTGGCCACCATTATTTTCAGCACTGCCTGAACCCTCTTGGGCATGGCGTTCACCAGAGCTTCACAGGTTGCCACTGGAGCCCTCTTCCCCTCCTCCTTGACGACATCACGGAGCTGGTGGATGTTAGAGACCTTGCGCTCCCCCACCTTCCGTTTCGGGATGCCCCACAGATGCTCGATAGGGTTTAGGTCTGGAGACATGCTTGGCCAGTCCATCACCTTTACCCTCAGCTTCTCTAGCAAGGCAGTGGTCGTCTTGGAGGTGTGTTTGGGGTCGTTATCATGTTGGAATACTGCCCTGCGGCCCAGTCTCCAAAGGGAAGGGGTCATGCTCTGCTTCAGTATGTCACAGTACATGTTGGCATTCATGGTTCCCTCAATGAACTGTAGCTCCCCAGTGCCGGCAGCACTCATGCAGCCCCAGACCATGACACTCCCACCACCATGCTTGACTGTAGGCAAGACACACTTGTCTTTGTACTCCTCACCTGGTTGTCGCCACACACGCTTGACACCATCTGAACCAAGTAAGTTTATCTTGGTCTCATCAGACCACAGGACATGGTTCCACTAATCCATGTCCTTAGTCTGCTTGTCTTCAGCAAACTGTTTGCGGGCTTTCTTGTGCATCGCCTTTAGAAGAGGCTTCCTTCTGGGACGACAGCCCTGCAGACCAATTTGATGCAGTGTGCGGCGTATGGTCTGAGCACTGACAGGCTGACCCACCACCCCTTCAGCCTCTGCAGCAATGCTGGCAGCACTCATACGTCTATTTCCCAAAGCCAACCTCTGGATATAACGCTGAGCACATGCACCCAACTTCTTCGGTCGACCATGGCGAGGCCTGTTCTGAGTGGAACCTGTCCTGTTAAACCGCTGTATGGTCTTGGCCACCATGCTGCAGTTCAGTTTCAGGGTCTTGGCAATCTTCTTATAGCTAGGCCATCTTTATGTAGAGCAACAATTCTTTTTTTCAGATCCTCGGAGAGTTCTTTGCCATGAGGTGCCATGTTGACCTTCCAGTGATCAGTATGAGAGAGAGTGAGAGTGATAACACCAAATTTAACACACCTGCTCCCCATTCACACCTGAGACCTTGTATCACTAACGAGTCACATGACACCGGGGAGGGAAAATGGCTAATAATGCCCAATTTGGACAGTTTCCCTTAGGGGTGTACTCACTTTTGTTGCCAGCGGTTTAGACATTGATGGCTGTGTGTTGAGTTTTTTTTTGAGGGGACAGCAAATTTACACTGTTACTCAAGCTGTATACTCACTACTTTACATTGTAGCAAAGTGTCATTTCTTCAGGGTTGTCACATGAAAAGATATAATAAAATATTTACAAAATGTGAGGGGTGTACTCCCTTCTGTGATATACTGTATCATGCTAGGTGCAGTCAGAAAGATTTAGCAAAATGTAAGAGGATCTGTAATATTCAACCATCTTAATACAGAAGTGACCACAGCAGGTCCTGAACCTAGGGTTGGAACGCAGTGGGTGCTGCCACTTACATTTTGGGCAAAGAGGGAATTATAGGAAAACCAAGCAGGAAGACACAAAATATGAGTACCTGTAGCCATATATACAGGTGACTCCATAAAAAGCTTGTGATGGTTTAGAAGCCTCACCCAGTGCTTTCTCCAGGTGCAGAGCACTGTCAAGTATGGTGACCCATGCCAAAAGCAGCAATACTACAAAGAACAGTCCCATTGAAGTGGGACTGTGCTCCCCATGTAAGCTTCAGACAACTTAAAACTATACATTTCAACCTGTATGTTTTATTTGTTACATGTATAGCTTGCCTTTCTTCCCAGGAGCCCAGGACAGTGTATATGGACCTCCTCTCCATTTTATCCTTACAACAATCCTGTTAAGTAAGTTAGGCTGAGAGTTAGTGACTGAGTTGGTCATCCAATGAGCTTTATGGCTGTCTGAGGACTAGTACCAGTCCAACACTCTACCACATGAAGTGTCCTCTATGGGACAGAATTACTATTATTAATTGCAATTATATCCCACCTTTCTGCCAAAAATGGCATTCAAGGTAACTAACTATAAAAATAATATAATGAAACTATAAACACAGATTGAAAGCAAATCAATAAAAGCACTCCTCCTTGTGCTAAAAAAAACCACTTTAGATAGCAACTTGGCTTAATTGCCAAAGGCCTGTCTGAATGAAAATATCTCTGCTGGCAGAAGGACAATAAAAAGTGATCCAACCAAGCTTCCCTGAGCAGGATGTTCCAGAGTCTGGACAAGCAGCCATCGAGAAGACTCTCCCTGGCATTCCTGCCAAACATCCCTCTGAATCAAACCATGGTTAGCCAAAATCTTTCTTTCCATACAGGACAGTATCAGTGGACAACTGCATCAATTATACCCAATGCTTTCTTTGCACTAAGGACATTCACAAGTAGGTATGGTCATACCAGTCTGAGCTGAGATGCATAAAAAGAACAAGCAACTAGACTGAGGTATGGATAGCTAAGACTGAATTCTGAGTCACTGAGGTTAACCTCCTGGACATGCTGATGTACAATTTGGGTTGTTCTAAAGCTTACTATTTGGTGCATACACTTTATCCTTTTCTACATAGCTTGGCTGTTACCTGTTGTGGATACTACTATAAGTGTTTCTGTATTTCCTAAGAGAAATCAGTTGGTTTTTTACAGAAAGTCAAGTCTACTTATTTATCTTTTGAAATGTAGTAAAGTAGATGTTCAGAAAGTTAAGGGGAATGGAATAGAGAATTAGAATGCTCTATACAACCTAATCAATTGAAAGCTGCCCTAGCTTACATCTACAGCATTTCTGTGGATTTAAAATTGCAGCTGATTCAACAAACAAAAATAATGTTTCATGCACACTGGACACCACAAAGGCTTGTTAGAAAAAGCTGGCTATTGGACAATGCCTCATTGAGGCATATAATATGGTCATGCATGGTGGTAGCTCCTTTCAGTTTGTATAAATTTTCTTCTTGAAAATTCATATTTCTGTGTAGTGGGGATTAAGAACTGAACAGCAAAACCAGAGTGTGAAAACCCTTACAGTTGTGCAGAGACTCAAGGTTTAAGCCTGGAAGGATAAACCATCAGCCATCTTTAATTATCTGAGGTTCTTACTACTCTTGCAACATTTGAATCTATAGAGTTGTCAGTTTGATGCTTAAAGTATGTATCTAAAATATATGTCGAATCTTTTTTCCCTTTTCTGTAAGAATATCTTATAAAAACAGTTATTATGAATGGATATGCTTTTAATCTCTTTTTTCTTTTTTCACTGCTATCCTACTCTTCTCCTGTTTGTTTTACTTTCATGTTTAAAAAAGATAGTACCCTGCAAATTAAGAGAACTCAGAGCCTGATGCAGTTCAATACCATCTGGCACAGAACACTTTCAGGATTGTGAAGTGGGCCAAGGTTTGGTATGGCAGTCATACTTTCTGTTTTTAACTGTCAATGGAGTAATCCTGTGTTGACATACATTGCATAAAAGTAACTGTTCTGAGTTGAAAGGTTTGTTGTCCAGCCTGAAAATGACAGCCTTTCAATCAGAGAGGTATGTGTCTTACTTCAAAGTTCATTTTGGGGTGCATGGCCATATACACTTTTAGGTAATCATTCAGTTTACTGAGGTCTATGCAAGCTTTTCCTTATTTTCACAAATAATTAACTGGGAACTATTGAAAACCTCAGCATAATATGTGTGGTGCAACTGGATCTCAAGCATTTTTACTCAAATGTAAGTCTTCCACTATGTTCAACAGCGTTTACTCCAATGAAATGTTACAATAAAAAACCTATTAGCTTCCACAGACAGTGAAACAGAGGTACATAAGAGAAAACACAAACAATTAAGACAGTCAGTATGGTGGTAATTTCCCCATTTGTATTTTGGAAGTGCTACCATATTCCAGTCGGATATATGAGAGAGCAATAACTAGCTTGCAAACTTTGTTTAATAAAATACTTTGCACGTAAGAAGTTATACAGACTAAAGAAAAGACTTTCCAAAGAAGCATTCATATTGAAAGAGATTCACTCAACACAAGTAACAACCTAATACTACACCTGGCAATAGTATATGTAAGTATATACCAGAATCACAGGAGGACAATTACACTAGGGAAAGCCAATGACAGAAGAAAAGGACCATATATGAGTTGACCTAACTCTATAAAGCAGCCTTCCCCAAACTAGTGGCCTTCATTGATATTCAGACTGCAACTCCCAGAATTCTCATCCAGCAGGGCCATTGACTGGGAATTCTGGGTGCTGCAATCCAAATCTGTCTAGAAGTCAAGTGTTGGGCAAGGCTGCCATAAAAGAAACCATAAGCATAAGCTGGCAAGGTTGTGAAAGACAGGACTTTTGGGGGGACATTCATTCATAGGGTCACAATAAGTTGGAGATGACCTAACGGCACAGAACAAATATAGTACCTAAGTCCAAACAGTATGGAAAAATGATTGTAGGAGCACACATGTGAACATTCTTCTGCTAACTATTTTCTAAAGGATGCAGCACGCCAAAAGCAAAACAATAAAGAATTTGCCAGTTGTTCCTTCTCCACTGTTGTATTGAACCCTCCTGCTCTTCATCCTCCAAAACAATGGGAGACAGGGAAAGAGCACAGAGAATTGGCGTCTTGTGCACTTAGAACCCGTAGGATCATTGGCAATGTAGTTTTCCCAGAGGATGCTGCAACTGCCAATGGCCTTTGGGAGAACGACAGGCCTCACAAGCTATAGGACTCAGTGGGTAGATGGGGGAGCCAACTCATCTCTCCGGTGATTAGTGGCCTGAAAACGCGCGTTCTCTTCCACACCTTTGCATGGCTTCCCTCAACAGAAGAAAACAGTGATGCAAGTTTAGACCGAGCATTTCTCTCCTATCCCAGAAGCATTTTGGGCTAGTGCCTCAGCAGCCTCCGCGGGAAAGATCTGGAGACAGCCCCCCCCCCCCCCGGTTTCCTTATCTCTGCCTATGCTAAGCTAGAGAAGCCGGGCAGGTCCACCCACGATACCTTTCTTCCTTCGAGGCCACGCGGGTGTTTTCTAACTGAGGAGTCCCACTACATCCAGTGGCGCTTATTTTTAGATTTTCTGTAACTAAGCATAGGATCCCATATAGGTTTAGATTGAAAAAGGCTAAGCTGAGGCATACTGGGAGTTGCAGAACTTTTCAAAAAAAGGTTTAAACCGGTATTGTTTAAACCGTGCCCTAAGATTCACTGAATACATTATGATTTATCTCCGTGGGGGGGGGGGTGGAAGCACAGAACATAAGTGACGAGATGCACGTTTGTTGGCCAACACTTTGCAGTACGCCGGTCACTCAGCCAACTCAACACTGGAACGCATACTGGGCGTGCGTCGTGGACCAACCCCGAAGACGCATGCGCAGAGCCTCCCCGCCAGCAAGACGCAGGTACAAGGCCTGAATAATACCGGCCTTTCGTTAATCCTCCCTTAAACACTAGATTACCAGCTACGGCCTCTCTGACGTGTTTTGCGGCACCCGGGTAAGTGAAATGATCGGGCTCCGCTCCCTCCTCGCGCTTACAGCCTCGCATCCTTACCTCTCTTTCCCCCACTCCCACCGTTTTCGCCTCACTGCGAGGGTAGTACTACGACGCCACAGAAGACGTGCGCGTGCTCGAATGACGCGCGGGCACGACCGCGCCCGAAAGACGTAAAGCGCCGCAGCGAGAGACGCGGGGAGGGGTTGCCTTTCTGTTGGGTGCTATGGCAACGGGGAGAGGGAGGCTTGGGCAGAAGCCGTACGGGCGGCGAATTTCTGAAATAAAGCAAAACGGGAATCGCGAATATTGTATATCCTTAATGGCTGCGAGTTAGCGTTAAGAGAGAGATGGGAGACTATCCTTCCAAGCAATAGGCCGGTTGAAGGCTGAGATATTTACGGCTTTCTCCTCTTGTGGGATTCCCGAACCTTTAAAAACCTGCATTACACGCTTAGTAGAGCGAGTAAAGCTGTTTATCGCGATGCCGTGCCGAGGGGAAGTTTGACCTGTAGAATTTCTGTCTGTCCTGTGAGTGCCTTAGGAGCCCTGCTAAAAAAAAGATGGCGAATGAACGCCAAACATAGCGAGCTTTTGGAAGGCCAGAAGCAGAACACGAATTACGAGAAATGAGTGGAGGACGTAAGATCAGGGAGGGCTTCCATTACTCCACGTTCTAAGTTTGAGGAAGTCCTCGTATGTGTAGGAAGTGTTAGGGATGACAGTTAAGTTACAATATGGTGTGTACAATATGATTTGTGTGCCAACTCTGCTTCTTTCCCTCTGTGTGGGCAGAGTGTTCTGAGAGCAGTGTCAAATTCTTCATTTTTGTCATGTGAACAAGCAGATTTGTGCAAGATTGCAAATGTGTGCAAAATGTCATGTACACAATTGCACAAAATGAGTATGCCTAAAATAAGCACACACACAAAACATATAATCAGAATGGATGTGCCTTTCTGGTAAAAACAAGGAAGGGTGCATACATATTTTCTGTATCCAAATCTTTGCATATATTTCCTCTTCCCTATGGCTGAATACGGCGAGACTATTAGAACAATGTACTCCAAATACAGAATGTAAACCCCATTTTCTCACTAAATATACATGTAAAAACAAAAGAATCCTCCTTGGATCAGGATGTACAATGGCCAGCATTCTGTCTCCAGCAGAATGGCCAACCAGATGCTCTGGAATCTCAGAGGAAGGAAGTATACTGGTTTCCCCCTTTGGTTTCTCCTCAACATCTGGTATTCAGAGGTATATTGCCTCTAACCATGGAAGTTCCATTTAGATATCATGGTTAATAAGTCTAGTTATGGCTAGCTTCCATGAATTGGTCTAATTATTTGTAAGCCAGTTACTCCAAATACAGTAACTCTCTGCCCATTGACATTTGTATGTGCATTAATTCTACATGACTTCTCTGGAGAAACCTAATTTTCTGGAACTGCCTTTTTCAGAATAAAGCTATGTTTAGTTAAGTCTTGAATAGCACAGTCCTTTTTATCTTTATACAGAAAGCAGGTCCTTCAACTTTCCTATTCCTCGCCAACCATGCTAGCTGGGAGATGCTGGGAATTATAGGATTTTTTCTCTCCAAATATGCATAGGATTGCATCCTAAATAAATTCTTCCCCAAATTGATAAAACTCACACAAAATCATATCATGTTTTCCTAATCAAGTGTAACCAATTAGAATTCAGTATTTAGAAGCTTTTCACATTGCCAACAAAGATTTGTTGTTGTGCTGCTCTTTCAAGATTGTGATTTGAAATGGCCATTTCACAGTGTCAGAACTACCTTGACACCTTTTATAATAATCATACAGACTCATAACATGAGCAGAGCCAAAGGTGAATGCGATATTTGGACTCATTTATTCCATTTGTACATTCCCCTTGGCCCTAAATAAATTCTCCCAACTTTGCACAGTTGTGCCAGTGAGGGGAGTTTGGTGTTGCAGCTTTTTTCACTCCTGCATGCAAGTTGCATCAGCCAAAATTTCTTGCCAGAATATAGAAAAGTATTTCTATAAAAAGCTACCCCACTTTGCATCCAGTAGCTCTAGTACAGGGTCCTGTGTGTCACTTTTCCTCTTTCTTCACCATAATGTCAATGTTCTGCTGAGATAGAACTCCATTATGCATGTTCTTCCTTTAACCTGGCCCATTAACTTCAAATGCTGGTACTGATAACAATAGCATTTTATTAGCTATGATAAGTAAATGATACATTCCTATTCAGAGTCAGTAAGTCTCTGATTATCCAATGCTTGGATGACTACCTCTGTTCTGTGCTGTTATGAGTTTTCCAGGCTTTCACCACGGTTGGAAATAGTGCTTAACCCTTTAGCAAACCCAACATATTTAGTTCTTATACTGTTGTTGAGGCATATTAAGTATTTGATTCTGTAGTACAGGGGTGGCCAAACCAAGGCTCATGAGCCACATGTAGCTCTTGGGAGTTTATTTTGCAGCTTGCAGAGCACTCAGGACTCCCCTGTTCAGTCCAAATCACAGTTATGGCCCAGGCGTGATTGCAGTGAGCAATTCTAAGGCCACTGTCCTATCCCACACTCTTCTTGAGGCTCAGGAAGAGAGTGGGTTGGGCTGGCAGCCTTGCAAGATGTCGCCCCAGCATGCCTTACCTACTCCTGCTGACAAGTGCAAAGGTGCTTTGGCAGTTCTACCTCTGCCACTGGTCCAGGCAGCAATTCTTGTGGTGCCATTGAAGGTGATGGCATTTCCTTGGCATCTTTAATGGTGGCCTCTTGAGCTGCAGCCCTACCCCTGGTGAAGAAGCTGAAGATGGAGCAACTCCAGGCCAACTACAAGCTCTTCCTTGAGGCCTTCAAGAGTGAGCATGAAGTAATTGAGTGGGAAGGGAACAGGGGCCAAAAGCAACACCCTCCCCCATGCCATCTGCTCCATCTTTGGCTTCTTCACTGGGAGTAGGACCATGGCGAGGTGATGCCGAGGAAATATAACCCCTGCCAGAATAACCACTGCTGTCACCACTGCCTCCAATAGTACCGCCAGATTTGCTGCCCGGAGCAGCAGCACAAGTAGGACTGCCAAAGTGCCTTTGCACTCGTCAGCAGAAGTGAGTGGGGCAGGCTGACTTTAAAAAGCCAACTTTGAAAGAGGTATCCTGACATGAATGTGGGGAGAGTGAGCCTCAGTCACAGCTCCAAAAAGAATTTTTGTTGTTTATGTGACAGCCCCTGAAGATGGCTATCCTATTGCTGCTTGTCCCTTCTGCAGCTCCTTCCAAGGTCCCTGATAGGACATGGTCTTCAAATTAGAATTCCAACAAAGAATTCTCAGTACTCCTTACTAAACTGCAATTGCCAGGATTCTTTCTGTGAGAACAGTAAAACAAACCAACCAACCTGCTATTTTTGATTAATATGACATTTGCTTTAAGTGTTGTTTCTAAAGGTCCATTTCTTTGGGAAGGGTACCCCACAGTTAAGTGTTTCGGTGTCTCTGTGTCTTATCATACACATTTAAAAATGATAAACTGATAAATTAGAATACACTTTCATAAAATCGTAATAAATAATAGATAAATATTTTTTCATGTGTTATGGCTCTCAAACATCTTACATTTACCAGATGTGGCTTTTCTGTTGAACAAGTCTGGCCATGCCTGTTCAATAGTTGAATAATACTGCTGGAAGATGAAGCCAAAGGCCAGCCAGATAATTTAACACTGAATAATGATTTAAATGTAGCAGAGATAGGCTGATAACACTGCAAACAAAAGCAAAAAACAAGGAATAAATTTTCTGTTGGCAAACTGCATCTTGCTTTCTTTTTTTCTTTCTTTCACTAAAATAGGATTATCAGAAGGGAAAACACAATGGAAGTTCTGCGGCCAACACTGATAAGAATTGGACCATGTGTTTACAGGAAAAACCACATTCGAGAACAGGTCTACCAGCCTGAAGAAGCGGAAGATTTCTGTGCAGGTAGGATACATGTGGTGACTTTATGTTACCTGTTGTCTTTAACTTAGCAACAAGTGAACTTGCCCCTGTTCTTCTGGAATTGTAAGTCTCTCAAAAGGCAATTTCCACCATTTATGTCACAGTTTTAAATCACAGTTTGCAGTGACATTGAACAGACTGCTGAAAATGCCAACATTGTAAGTTGTATTGGATAGCTAAATATGAGGCATTCTGCTGTAGTGTGAGTTTTAAAGCTTTATTGTTAGTAAGAGAGCATATGTGTGTGCAGAAGTTAGCTTCTGTACAGAACTGCTGCTGCAGTCACTTTAAGGGAGGAAATCCCTAGTGATTTAAGGCGCCTCATTTCATTCTCTTGCCCCTTGGCAACCCTGGGCAGGATTGAGCGCAATATATTTTACTTTAGTGTAAACTGCTGTTCATAATATTGCAGAATGAGATGATATTGCTTCCTTTTGTTTCAGCCCTAGATGGTAGTAGGATCTTCGGGCCCTGGAGTAGTGGTAAGAAAGGGGGGCTACATATTGAAGCCAGGATTCAAAGTGCTGCACAAAGTTGTGCGTGTTCAAAGAGTGCAATTTAGAGGCGTGTACAATCCCCAAGATTTGACTCAGACTGATTTGGCAATTTGATTCAGCTCAAAACTATTTGGTGGTCATCCACTTCAGGAGTGAACCAAGTCAACATTCAGAAACCTGAGACATAGTACCTTCCATTGACTGTTACAGGAAATGGAGAAAAAAAAACTTTTCTCTTTCCAGAATTGGTTGCAGGTTTCAAGCAGGGGATAATACCTGTCATAAAAATAGATGGAGGGGTTTCTCTGCTAATGCCTTTACATTTTTAAATGGAACCGCTGATACATATTTTATTGCCTGGATTAAATTTGTGGAGATTCCTGTCTAAAGGGATAAAGCAGGACAAGTTTCAGATAAATAGGAATGCATGTAGATTGTGCAAGAGCACACTTGACATTTTGAAGGTATCAGAAAGAGGATGCCCTTATCCCCTCACGCTTCTTGTGATCCATTGTTGTAAACATGACAGAGAGCCTAGAGGTGTCCCGAAGTAAGAAATCTGCAAGTTTCAGAAGTATAGATGCAAGGAGCAGGACTTTATGATGACTGAAACTGATGACTGATTTTAAGGTATTTGTTTTTCATTGTAAAGCCTGAAGGCAATGAAAAAAAATGGTTCCATCTTTGCCCTTTCCCTAAAGTGCAATGTTCAGAGTCCCTGGTACAACATGCCCTATGATTGGAAGGCAGACCTGTCGGTTACTCATATCTACTCCCTTCTCCATCAGTATTTATACGAGAAATATAAACAAAACTACTACTTTTAGAAACATGCCATCTGTCTTTCTGAAGATGAATTGTGAAGGAAGCCTTTACACAATGGGGGGAAGCCGACTTCAGGAGGCATCAGAAACAGGTCAAAGGGGCCTAATTTGGCTCAGGTTTTAATCAAAACTGATGCACATCTCTAGTGCAAGCAAAATTTGAACCCTTGGAGAATTTCTGTTGCAATGAAGAACAAACATTGCACTGGCAGTTTTGGCTAAAAAATAAGAAATGTCTTTGTCTAGAAGTAAGTAATGTCTCAATTTATTTTACCTCTGGGCCACTTCACATTGCCCAAAATACAAAATTTGTTGCTATTGCATTCCTTTTCTTTTTGCAGTGTTGTCAATGAGTTTATGCTGTTCCTTCCTCATAAGTACATAGGGCTCTACTTTGCCAGGTTTTGTGCAGACCGTAAAGATTGGCTTCTTTCAAACTGCTTTAAACTGCTTTAATCTGGAGTGCCCTAATACTTCAATTTAAGCACTTTTCCTTAACACATGTAGTGCTCTGGATCATTTTAAATAATTGCTATGGCAATGTTTTAATGTTCTAGTATTTTAGTATGGACTATGAAGTTATATATGACTTTATGATGAATTTTATGCATGATGGGTATTGCCTTGGGAAGGTAACTTCTGAGAGGTGAAAACAGTTGTCAATCAATCAAGGAAGAAATGCATGTTCAGTGATATTCTAGCAGAGTGATTTAGGTCCAATATGGACTATCAGGTTATAATGCAAGAATCTGTGTAAAGTTATTACTCATTTTTTTAATAGGATTGAAATGTTTTCCTTAACGATGTACTTTCATTTTTGTGGATATTGAATTTTCCCACCATATGTATCCTGATAAGTTGCTGCTGGGAAAATGCACTACTCATTCATCTATTTGAATCCTTGTCATGTAAATTCCTACTCTGAATATAGTTTTATATGCCACCACCCTATTAAAAGAGAGGGAGCAGGTGAATGCAACCTCTGCCCTCTCCAGTTATGTATTAATGTGAAAAGGACACTCTTTGCACTGATTTCTTGAATAGGCTTGTTTGTTTATAGTTGTTTCTGGCTTTCTGTGCTTTAGTTGAGAAGTAACTTAAGTTGTCTAGCACAGCTGCTGGTACCTTCCACAGAACTTTTAAGTCACAGAATCATAGAATTGTAGAATAGTAGAGTTAGAAGGGGCCAGGAAGGGTCCAACCCTCTGCTGTTGCAGGACATCAGTTTACACCATCCCACTCAGATTCACCTTGAATGTCTCTAGTTTCACCTGGAATGTCTCTAGTGTGGGAGAGCCCACCACCTATCTAGGCAACTGGTTCCACTGTCATATTGCTCTGACAGTGAAAACTTTTTCTGATACCTAGACTGAATCTGGGTTGTTGCAACTTGAATTGAGTATTCTATGTCCTGCACTCTGGTATCAATGAGAAGAGAGCTTGACCTTCTTTGTGACAGCCTTTGAGGTACTTATAGAGGGTTATCATGTTCTCCCTCAGTCTTTTCTTCTCAAGGTTGAACATGCCCAGTTCTCTGTCTGTCCTCATAGGGCAGAATTTCTAAACCCTGGATCACTTTTGTTGCCCTCCTCTTGAACTTTTCTTATTTTTCTGCATTTTTCTTAAATGTTGATGCCCAGAAATGAATATAGTAGGTCCAGTCAGAGGTGCCAAACTTTCAGCCCAAGGGCTAAATTCCATTTCAGAATTCATATTTATTTTCCATATTCCAGGAATTCATATTCCAGGATGGAGCCAAAGGCAAATCAGGGAGGGCAAATAGACCCAAATTACATAGTTTAATTTAAAGCTTTTACTGTCAATAACTAAGCCTTATGAGAAGCATTTCATCCTTTTAGAATAGGGGAACTACATAAAAGCTGGGAAAGCACTGAACAGTTGCAGGGAATATAGGGCATAGGGAAGGATGTGTGGCCTTCGGGGAAACTAGATCTGTAGAAGGTCATATTTGACTGCACCCCAGATTTAAGTGATACAATTAGTTGTACTTCTTGATATTAGATTATTTGTACAGTTTAAGTGGTATGAAAATAAACCACTCCTAAACAGAGGAGTGTTTAGAAGCTTATACCTAGGAATTTGAGAGATCTTATGAAAATTTAGAATAATATTCAGGGCATTTTTGTGTGGCCTGTATTTTGGACACCCTTTGAATTAAATGATTCAGTTCTATCTATTGTACTTTCCTTGACCAATCTTAGGACTTTTCAAGTCAATAGAATACTGTCAATGAATGTTAAGGTGCATTAGACAATTGTTTCAAATAATAAAAATGTTGTCCCACTTTACCATATCTGCTGTTAGAGGCATGGTATACCCATTTAAGGTACATTTTGGAAGCATTTTTTCTGATTTGGAGCAAAATAATGGCTGTGTTTTCTTCTTGAACTGAGACTACCCTATATTGCCACTTATTACAGTTGGTGATACTGAGAGAAGCTAAAATCACTTTTTTTCAGATTTTCAGCTTTCAGGGCCTACATCTGTATGAACTAAACATCTGTATGTTTCTTAAACAGGTATTTGCATGAGAGGAGAAAAATAGATTCCCACAAGGTTTCTTTATAAATTATTTTCAAGAGAAGATAGAAAAGAAGCACTCATTTGAGGGCAGGGACTGCATTCTGAAGATGTCTGCAAGAGTTAAAATTCAGTGTTATGTTCTCCAATGACAGGAGTGGGGAAGAAACACCCTCTGAGAGTCCGCTGCAGGTGTACAATCAAAAGAACATTTACAGTTCATTCAGTCATGGAGGAAATAACATGGAGTATGGAGGCAGTCCCCAAAGGGATTACAAAGTTGGAGTCTGCACAAGATGTTTTTATACGCAGGCTGGAGGAGTGGGGGGATCATGTAGGCAGATTGTTAAAAGCACATGAGAATAAAACAAAAGGGATGAATGGGGTTAGGACAACACAATACAAAAAGAACTTTCAGGAAAGGCAGTTATTAGCATGTCTAATATTTGCCTCAATTATAGGACTTTCAGGACAAGAACATTAGCATTTCTAAGGTATATGTGGGAAGCAAAACTTGGTAACATGGATTTGTAACATGATTAGATCAGGAATCCCATCCTAAGTTAAAAATTGTTCTTACACTGTCAGGCTTTTAGCAACCATATTATGGCAATGCTTTTGCTCATTTTGTCCTGACACCAACAAGTTGCAGTAGAAAAACTGACTATGTTCTTTCAGTCAAACAGGGTGACTGGGCTGTCTTACTAAAGGGAGTTTATAATTACTCTGTGTTTTATAGGTGTTGGGGACGGTACAGATGAGCCCTGTGATGCCTTTGTGGTAGAAGAGACAGAAAGAGGTTACCAATGTGCTGTGGCCATTCCTAGTCCACTATACAAGTGAGTCTGTGCACCCATATTAAAAAAAAATCACATGATCTATTTATTTATTTATGACTTTTCTATACCATTCCCTACCAAATAGTCTCGGGATAGTCTTTGCATAACTTTGCAGTGAATGTTTTCTGCAGTAGAAGATGCAGCAACCTTATTCACAAGTCTCTCCTTTCCCTAGGTGTTTAAGACTAACAACACAATTGGATACACTCCAATTCAAAAGTATATTGAACTCAGTGGGGCTTATTCTCAGGTTAAAGTGTATAGGATTGGAACCAAAGAGGCACTTTGTGTCTTCACTCCTATGTTCTTCTTACCTTACAAGAAAATGTTAAAAAGCAAGCAATGTCAGTACACTCCAAAATGTGATTTCCAGAGCAGTACTGTACACACACAGGCTGTTTTATGCTGATCCTTTGCCATCCCTTTCCAGCCACTTGCGTGTTCCCTCTTTCCTTTTATTGTGGCTAGAACTGTATGAGATCTTTTTTGTACTCCTAAACTGTGATGCAAAAGAAGCTAATGACAGGAATCCCTGTCTCGTCCCATTATTCCAGTTACTGTTTAGTAGTTATTGGGATTCTAGTCCTTGGCTAGAAAGATTGTGGAAAATGTCAGATGTTCTGTGTAGCTACTACCAACGGAGTGATTTGGTATAAGTTAGTTTCCTGAATGGAAACTTAACAGCATGATGCCTTTGTGAGACACTTTTTTGCTACTGTCATTAGGAAAGTATTTGATTGTGCTTTTATTGTTGTTGTTCTTAGTTGTGAAGTCACATCCGACCCATCATGACCCCATGGACAACATTCCTCCAGGCCTTCCTGTCCTCCACCATCCCCCGGAGTCCACCTAAGCTCATGCCGACTGCTTCAGTGACTCCATCTAGCCACCTCATTCTCTGCTATCCCCTTCTTCTTTTGCCCTCAATTGTTCCCAGCATCAGGGTCTCCTCCAGGGAGTCCTTCCTTCTCATTAGGTGGCCAAAGTATTTGAGCTTCATCTTCAGTATATGGCCTTCTAAAGAACAGTCAGGGTTGATCTCCTGTATTAGCTAACAGTATTTCAAATGGGTAGGATGTTTAATCTTGTGATGTTTGGAATTACTTATTTCTTCAAATGTTTATTTCCACTTCCTTATTTTTCCACCTTCTGTTTACACAGGTATATAATAGGAAAGAAAGGAGAAACAAAAAAGAAACTAGAAACAGAAACCCGAACTTCTATCAGTATCCCTAAGCCTGGTGTAGAAGGCGAAATTGGTGAGACCTAGTGTTTGTAAAAGTGAATGGTCTTCTTAACATTAACATACCCAGGTCTATGTATGGCTGTGAAAGCTGGACCATAAGGAAGCCTAGGGTTTGCTGTGGCTCAGTCCTTCTCATTTATGTCATGCTAAATCAAGTGATCAGTATTAGAGACCAAGTGCCCAAACTGCAACTCAGAACCAACTTATTTATCGCAAAGTGCCAACACTGCAATAAAACCTGAATTTGCTGACCACCAGCAGAAGGGGGCAACGTTCCACTGACCACCAGCTTTTGGCTGACCCTGAAAAAGGCATCTGAGTGTATTTCCTACCTGAGAGTATTTCCTACCTTTCCTACCTTCTGCTAAAATCACAGTCCAAGCAAATCCCTGGCAGCTCACTGACCAGCCATGCAAAAGCTCTGCGAGTTGTGGCTGTGGCTAATGAGTGACATCGTTGCCCTTAATCTTTCCAAATATGCACATGGCTGCTGGGGTGATTGTGTGCCGACAGAGACGGCTCTGCGTGCCCCTTTGGGCACATGTGCCATAGGTTCGCCATCATTGTGCTAAATAATGATTTTGTTTAACATGTGAACAGGGCCAGTTTAACTTGGCCCAGGCTGAAAAAAGAAAAATGTCACAGCTTCCATGTATGGCACTGTTAAAAAGTGTTTGGCCAAGGATCTGGTGGGTTATATATTTCCCCTTATTTAAAAACAAATAAGGGTCATAATTTTCTCTTAATTATGCCTCATCATAGCTGGCATAGCTTTTTAAAAAGTAAGTCTAATTGAATACTTGCTATCATTTTTACCCCTATTATAGTTTAAATATATATATACACACACACAGCCAAATATTTATTTTAATTATAAATAATAAGAATAAAATTAGTTTTAAAATGTATGTACTGCTATTTCACAAAGCAGTGTACAGTAATAAAAGCAAATATAATGAAATCTGAATGGATAAACTTAGAGACAAAAATATACATTATATGCACAAGTTAAACTGAAAATCATGTGACAGGTCCATATGTATCCATGAAATTGGTTTATGTCCCTTTCCAAAACACTGCTTTAAAAGAAAGCCTCCTTTATAGAAAGTCTAAAGTAGTCCTATAAATGGATTGGATTGCACTTTATTACTTTCCTGAGAACTTAGAAGCTTGGGAAAGTGTAGAAAAGGTGGAGAACACTGAGAACTGTCTGGTTTTATTTATTTATTTTAAACATTTTTACCCTGTCCATGATCACTAAATAAAAATGTTTTTACCTGGCACCGAAAAGAGTGTAAAGTCGGCGCCAGGCTTTATATGCTGATTCAAACTTATAGCACAGAGGATCTCATTTGGAAGGGGGAGTTGCCACCAGCTTTTGTAACTAAATTTTTTTTTTGCACTTCTATTTTATGCTTGATAGCTTCCCATTTAACAGCTCTTAAATGAAAGCAAAATAACATATCTGAACCCTGGTTTTGTTTAAGAACCTTACCTTACAGTGACATTGACTTGCACACTCTGTTACCTTGTTGCAGTAGAAAACTCTGTACCAGTTTGCATGAGCAAGCAAGCCACCGTGGCTTGTTTTAATGCTAATGTATGCCATGTAATGAATTGTCCATAAGCACCACCCAAGTACAGCTTGTCATATTTCCTGAACCCAGGCATCATGGCTTATTTGAGGGGAAAACAAACATCAAATAACATTACAACAGCCCGAGAATTCTTTGAAGGTTGTTTTCTTCTCTAACTATATTACCTGGGTTTGGACAAAACAGCATGCATGCCCTAGAGGGTAACTGGGAAAGTGGCATCTGATTGTGTGAACATGCCATTCATTATTTGCCTCCATGGTGCACATAGCACATTGTTATAAATCCTATCTTGTATTTTGCTTGTTTCCAGTTATCACAGGACAGCACCGGAATGGTGTTATTTCAGCTCGAACACGGATCGATGTTCTCGTTGAGAGTTTTCGCAAAAAGCAGCCCTTTACACACTTTCTATCATTTGCGCTCAACCATCCTACAATTCAGGAAAAGTTTCTACAGTTCAAAGAGGAAGTTTTGGAAAAGTGCACAAATGTAAGTTGCCTTGATGATATTCAGAAATAACTGGGAGTTTAAAAGTATACTCTGTCCCAGAATGTTTAGTGAATATATCAAGATTGAAATGCATTACAAGCATGTAGTTACTGGCAATACTATTGCCTGAGATGGCAGAATTATCATCAGCAATATGATAAGATACATTACTATAGTAAGAAGTTATTTCTTTCACCTTTTATAGCTTCTCTATTCTGTACCTATAGATAATAACTTATCTATTAGCACAATATAGGCACATTGAATTATTTTATTAGTCAATTAACAGCATGGATTTTATCTCTGATGGTAGCAAAAGCTATGAAATTCCAAAGCATTTGCTCTTCAGATGCTTACAAATCAGAATATCAAACTCTTTAGGCCTTTGTTCCCTGTTCCCATATAGCTTATTTTGTTTTTTAGTTTCCTTCAGGTCCCAGAAAAATTCTTATTTTGTAAGAGTTAGTAATGTGTGCTATCACCAAGGTTTTCATCATGGAGAAATGCTCCTTTTCTTTTCCTCCCCACTAGAGTTGTGCTGATCCTATTCCTTGGTTTGTTTTCACTTCATGACAGTAGCGGCAGAAAATAATCAGAATAAAACAAAGGTGCATATAAACTTAGGTAACTTGAGCAGCAAGTCAGCTATGAAACATTTTATTTTGTTGGATGAACATTCTACTCAGAGACTGAGCTCAGGGGAAATCTTTTCTTCCTGATCTCAGCTGAAAGGGAGCACTGAGCTCAGTCTCTGAAATCTGCACTGCACAGATTGGTTGTCCGTCTTGACAAGGCAACTTCAGCTCCTCAGTGTGATAAACAATACTGTGATGAGCAAAGTTTTGTTTGCAGGAGGGGTCATCTGCCTCTTGGGAAAGTTGGCTAACAGTTGGTAGAAGGTTTAGACCACTGTTGTATTTCTGTTCTAAAATGAACAGTTAAATTCATCCATAAGAAGCTATGTCTGTTCTCAATGGAAGCCACAGAAAACTTCAATATCTCTATTACAACCCCCACTCCCAACATCCGGAACAGTTTTTTCTAGTTAAAATAAACCAGAGTTTCAAAAATAAGATATAACACATGTTGATCAAATTAACTAGCAAGGTATTGGCATTTTGCTTGAGAGAGGAAATGAGTGATTTGGAGGCAAATATGTGTATCATTTGAGTAGCTAAGATTGGGAGAAGACAAATTCATCCAGCAGAAGAAAAAAGACCCAAACAGAATTATTCCTATTTATAAGTACATCTGCATGTTCTGTAAGTGGCCCTTATGAGTTGATATTGGTGTTTATAGATCACTGAAATCTGTTGGATAGACAGCTATAAAATACAGTCCCTGAGTTAGGACCATCCAAGTTACAAGCAACCCATACTTATGAACAACTGTCCTAAAGCCTATTAATTTTTAAAACTTACTGCAGAAAATCATCATTACCATAGAGAGAGAGGAAGTGAGAGGGGAGGGGGGCCTCCAAAGCATGCCTTCCTAACCCACCCATGTGGAGAGGGAAATCTCTCTGGCATTCCTTGCTGCAGAGAGGAGGCACTGGTGAGTCTGAGGTGGTGGTGGTGGTGAGGGCTAGATATATTCCATTTTCATGGGGGTCCTTTGCCCCAACCCCTGCGAATGTGGAGGGCCAACTATACGTGATCTGACTTTCATACAAGTTCAACTTAAAGATGAATTTCCATTTTCTCAGGAACAGAACTTGTTCATAACCAAGGGACTGCCTATACAAAGAAAATGGCATATACATAGTATCTGGTGATACGATTTAATTTTACCAGTATCTGAGGCCTTTACATTTAGAGAAAAGTTGATCTTCCTGTTTTCCAGATGCCTTTACTGAAAGCCAACTGCTAGGGCAGTCTGCATCTACCAGTGGTTTCCTTGTCTACAATATCAACTCTCTTTACAGGGAGGGATGGAGGCACATAGTGTCATACTTGGTGGACAAACAAACCGGGGACAGTTTAGCCACCAGAATCTTGGCAAGTTGATAGGCAGAGTACTGAACGTAAAGGACCAATTAACAATATTATGATTACTGTTGTCAGGGTAAGCATAAATTGAGAATAGAGGCTACCAGCAGTCCTATACTAATAAGGCATTTTTGGCAGCAATCTCACATCTGCCACAATTTGTCGTTAGTTCCTAGAGTTAGCACATAATTGGTTAGTGCATAATTAGCACATAATAGCACAGAATTAGCACATAAAATCCAGGATTTCCTCATGGGAACTTCCCATATCCTTGATTTACTACTATAGAAGAACTTTCCCTTATTAAAGCAAGTGCCTTCCTCGCCCAGCAACACTATTGCAAGGCCCTTCAAGGTGCCCTTGTGGACTTGACAGAGTATGCTACTGCTGCAGATCCCATACTTTCTCCTTAGGTTCTCCAGCTGTGGTGTGATTCAGTCTGCAAAGGCTATTGGGGGATCACTTGATTTTGAGCTCTTCAGGCTGTCCATATAGAATGGGTCAGAAGTACATAATATCTACACAGAGTCCCCATCAATAGCTGTGTGTAGATTTTCTTCAGATTACCTCAGTTCCCTTTGAAAAATGAAATTATCATCCGCATATAGTGGGATTTTTAAAATTTGCTGAAAAGTTTGGCAAAATAATAGTTATTGTCTTTTAATTGAATTTCTGTATGTGCTAAAGGTAAGTAAGACTATTTATTACATTGATCTTGAAAGGTGTCAGCATCTTTCTAATGACCTTTTCTGCTGATCAGAATCTACAGCAGGCAAGATGATGAAAATAACTCCAAATGATTGGCATTCTAATTTGAGGTTCCTTAAATTCATTAAAGTTCTAATTTGAGGTTCACAAATTGATACAGATTTGGCTTTAGAAAGTTCTTTTGTGCACATTTGCAGAATATATGTTCTCAGATTTTATGAAGATTTTATTGGCTTCTTTGAAATCAAACAGCAAATATAAATATCTGTTTGTTGCATTATTTATTCACAACATCTACTTTGTCACTCCATTTACTTACAACCATCACCATTTTTAAACCTAGAATTATGGGCAAGAGATTGCATTTCATACAAGAAAGACTTTAGACTTTGTGGTACAGTATTTTTCCATGTTTTTCTGTAAGCTCCAGTATTAAAGGTTGACAATATACAGCTGCTAGTTAGATGAAGAAACCTATTGCTTCTGCATATGACTCTCAGTCATTTCATGGTCAGCAATGCCACTCCAATACCACTTTATCTCTCAGCAGGATCTGCCAAAAAGCACATGAGTAATGAAAAAAACGATCTTTGAAAGCCTATGCTTTGCAGTGCAATAAAAAAGTATCTAGAGCTATGCAAAGCAGCAGGGGAGTTTTTAGGATGCTGAAAGAAACCTGAATATGTGCCAGTTATAGAAGCTGTGTGTGTTTGTTCCTGCTGCTGATTTCAGCTTCAAATAGAGCAGTCATTTAATGATGTCTCTATTCAAATATGGTTGATTAACAGTCAGGGTATACATATAAAAAGGAATAATATCAGGTGCTGAGATTAGCATTTTTTTTTGTTGTTCAGCGATGGTATGGAATCTTTTCCTCTCACAAGCATAGTTACCATGGCAACCATTCGTCTATCCTTTGTACTGCTGTAGCCTCATGTGTCAGTATATACTGCAGATAACTATTATTTTTTTCTTTTTGGCATCATGAAAAAGATGAAGGTTGTCTTCAAATTTGAAAATTCATAGACATTCTATGCAAGCCATTATACTGGGTGGCGCAACCTGGCTATGAAGTGTGAGGGTCAAGCCTTAATATACACTCATTTTATTTTTATGAAGATAACCCTCTTTCTTACTCAGTGGAAACTATTATTATTTATTTGCCTTAGCAACATCAACATAACAGCAATTGCAATCAAAATAATTCAAAATAAAAGCAAGACATAACATGGAAAATGGAAAACTCTGATCAGTTCAGCTGAAATTAAGTCAAATGCTGGCTTGAAATAGAAAAGTTTCGTTGCCTTTTGAAATAATACAGTTTTTGGTTCAACCAGATCTCCCTTGGGACTGAATTTCTATTATCAAGTGCCACAACAGATAAGGACTATGCTCTTATGGCCTTCATGAAGAATAAGGCAATGACTACTAGTCATGACTGCTATATGTTACTCTCAGGTTTATAGACAATACCTCTCTGAATGCAACTTTTGGGGAACAACTGTAGGAGAGGACTGTTGTTCTTACATGCTGCTTGTGAGCTTCCCAAAGGCATGGTTGGGCACTGTGGAAAGGAGGAGGCTGGCCTAGATAGGCCCTTGGTCTGATCCAGCATGGTTCTTCTTATTATATATTTCTCAGGTAGCTTGAAGTAACACATGCATCTGTAGCAGATCCTAGTGGGCACAGCGGCTGTGTATAGGAGAAGGTCCTCCCTTAGCTATGCAGTTAACAGTCAGCTGAGATTAACTGTCTCTTTATTATAACATGTTAACTACAGGAAGTCCCCTAGATGTGAACGTGCTTTTGCGTACTTTCTGTAATAACTGAGAGAGGTGAGTCCAGCAAAGCATAACGCAGGTCACTAACAGTAATGCCATATGAGGAAGAACCCAACAGATGAACAACACGGGTGTACTTCCACACTGCCATGTACCTGGAAGTATAACTTCTGGAAGTCCTCCAGGGTCAGTATAAATCTCTTAGAGTACAGTACTATACAGTTGATTGTGTTAGTTGGGTACGCAGGCTAACTTCGTTGGACATACGAACACACTCTTAGAATGGAACTCGTTTGTATGCAGGGGACTTGCTGTACAAGAGGATTTTAAAATGGGAAATGTTCTAATATAAAACTTCAGCTTCAGTCAGTGACTGCTGAAATATTTCACATTTAAATTTTATAATATTTTAAATAATATTATTTTTATATGAATTTTAATTTGGTTAAATTTAAAATGTATATTAAAATATACATTGGATGCACCAGTGGGAGTCATTCTGGATTTTTTGTTTGGAATACTG